GTTGACGGTTACGCTTATCTCCTAAATGCATTCTATTGGCATGGCGACGGCAAAACAATGTTTTCGCCCATACTGGAAGTGACGATATTTCAAGATGGCGGCACCCTTATAAAAAAGGTCTATAGGTGTAGACTTGACTGAACTGAACAAGTTCATCCCCTTCCAATAAGAGAACATGTTCTTGGGCAGCTTGCTGGAGCAAAATATTTTTCGAAAGTTGACGCAAACTCCGGATTTTAGCAGTTCGAACTTGCTAAAGAGTCTCAAGCTCTAACGACCTTCATTACACCCTTCGGAAGGTCCAAGTTCAAGAGACTGCCTTTTGGAATATCATGGCCAGGACTTTCAGCAGCCATCAAGAGCATGGTATGCAGGTGTCCTGAATGCATCAAGGAAATCTCCAACCATCATGAACCTTTGATTCCATCAAAGTTCCCGGAGTGTCCGTGGCAGAAAGTCGCAGTGGATCTGTTCTATCTGTCAGGAAAGAATTACCTTCTGGTGACCGATTATTACTCGAGATATCCAGAAATTGCACTTCTCACCAGTATGACTGCGACACGTGTCACAACACACATAAAGTCAATTTTTGCACGACGTGGAACGCCTGAAGTTTTGTTCAGCGACAACGAACCATAATTCCATAGAGTTGTCGGAAGTGAGTTTTACCAGTTTGCCCAAGAATGGGGGTTCGAACTTAAAACGTCCAGTCTAGGATATTTGCAGAGTAATAGATTTGTGGAAGTTGCTGTCGGGATTATTATGAAAAGCCTTAAGAAGATATCAGACAGCTACATTGTGTTGCAGTCTTATTGTGCAACACCGTTAGGCGATGAATATAGTCCCGCCGAGTTGCTTATGGGCCACAAGTTGGGAACGTCACTGCTAGCGGTTTCTTCTAGTTTGGAACCGAGACTTGTGGACCCCCAACGACCTTAAAAGTGGGAGAAGAGAAAAATGAATGGACAGAAGACCAACTAGTATGACAGATGACATGGTGTATGACAGCACAAACCATTGAGAAGAGGTGATGTTGTCTGGGTTACCGATCAACGAAAAAGTGTAATTGTGCAGTGTCCAACTGAGAGTATGAGATCGTACTTAGTGGACACTGACACAACTACACTTCGAAGAAACAGCTTCCATCTCTCACCGATGACAGAGACTGAAGTCATGAAAGAAACTTCGGTACCCTAAAGTCACTGGATCCTAGTAACGCCAAGTTCCCCGTGTGGTCGCCATCTTGGTCCGTGAAATGAGCAATTTCTCCTTGACCCCTCCGTTCTTGGTAAGCCGATCTAGATTCGCTGGTGTCGGGTAGCTTTATGGAGTGGTTTTTTGTATACCGAGATTTTGCTAATTACACACCGGCGAAACAAGCGTACACCTCCGTACCACTACCAGATGCTGTGTCGGTGCTTGGAGGCACTGAAAAATAAGTTTACTGTATTGAAATACGCAAGAAGAACAATACAATTGTAAGAGATCCATGGAGATGGACATGAATAATAAGTTGATTGCATACAGAGTGCCAAAGACTCTTATATTGGCGAGGAATGTCTCCAGTACGATGATGCTCCATGGTAATCTTGGCGCGACTGGTTTAGAACGACCCTTTAGGAGCTTCAAAGATTTCAATGGACCAAGATGGCGATTTCCATGGCAACGTAGACCGATTAGCCAATCGCCTTGCTAGGTTTAGGTCGTCTGTATGTTAGTATCCGTTTGTGTCCAGCTAGCAGGTAGGGAAGGCAATGGCACTACTTTCCCAGGATCCAGTGACTTTACGGTACCCGACATCGGATCAACTGCGTATACTACACGCAGTGGACGACTAGTGAAACCTGGGGAGAGATGTGCTGTTGGGCTTTGAGGGTAGAGGAGGAAGACGAGGCATTGTAAATAAACATGGCATTCTGACAAGTAGCAGTTGGGAGCTCAGAGTTGGTAACACGAACAACACACGCCCAAAAACTGCGTTAGCTCCATCTGCTAGGTTCAACGAGAGCAGCGTGAAGGCAAGACCGGCGAGACGTGAGAGACCCCGATGGACAGGCGATGGACCACGATGAGAGGACGAGCCGAGCCGCTGAGCAAATGGAGGAAATAAAAGTGTGTGGCATTGCCGAGACCAAGATGGGACTTTGCAGTGTGATCGGCTGCAAAAACCTTACGCGGCGAGTTTCGTTCACCGGCACGACCCTGTTGAATTACGTCCTAAATCTTGGAGTAGCGTGGACTTATAAGTGGCTCTCTTAGATACAGGGCTGCTAAAACTATAGATTTTGGCCCTTTTGTTGGCAACAGTGAGCGGACTTCATTGAAGTGGAGTTTCGTAAGATTCAAATCTGACGACTTCGACAGTCGTGCCAGGTATGCCCCTGGATCGTGCTCTTGGCACTGCTGCAGTGGCTTTATCAACCCGTATAGCATTGACTGTGCTTTGAACTAAGGTAAAGCGAAGCCGAGGTTTGATCTTCGATCAAACCTCGGCAAATTAGTCTTAGAAGTGCACAGTATACGAAACCCAGGGTTCAAACTAATTACGGTACACAGCACCTTGCATATCTCGTACCAGATCTACTAAACAAACACCCAGACATAGCAGAAATGGCCCAAGTACACATTTCGTTTTTCCATTTTAAAAAAGGATTGTAGAATATATACTAAATCACTCATGATCTGCAGTTAGTACGAAGTTGACAGTTATGTGTTGTTGTCGATTTTAAAATTGCTGTATCTTTGTATATTTGTTTTTTTTTATCTTCCTGTGTCTCCTCCGAGTGCTGTAAAAAAGGGGCTGGAGCCTTGCAGAAGACAATTCGTCTTGTTTTGCCCCAGCCTCCCAGACCCTTTTTGTGTCTGAAATAAAAGATACATACATACATACAAATTTTCAGGTCTTGGGGTTTTATAAGCCAAACCAACGATGGTCATCCGGCATGCCCCAGCGAAAAATCCCCAGGTTTATTTGAAATTGAGTTGATCCAACGTTGGTCACGATACATATTAATAAAACACACTAGTCAGACTCAACTGCATGGTTCACTGTTGGTTGTGATGCATAACGAGAACAGCCCCAATTGTGAACTCAATTGTGTGAATGCTCCAGAAAATATTTCACATGGGCGTGCACAATATAATTGCTGTCAAAATTCACAAGTATAATTCCATTTCTTTCAATGCAAAACATATTTCTCAAGCTGAATAAAGTTATGTATGTCTTTACAATTCTCGTATCCACTTGCACGATGGTACAGGAGTGTAAAAAATAGAATTTCTTCAATTTATTGTTACATGACCAAATAAAAGGCAGCAGGTGCAGTCAGCTGCCATGATCATGAACAGAACCAGGGTGGAACCTGGTCCCACTCAGTTTGTAGACACAACCATGTACCATTCAGTGGTCACGTCTGGTTCATGTGTAGAAGGGAAATCGGAGGTTTGACGCCTCCAGCGTAACTGGTCTTCAGTGTTGGCGTCCCAGTCGTTCTTCTCCCGAGGCGCAGTCCTCCAATGTACTGTCACAATGACCTTGTTGATGCGCCGACCGGCCTATCTGCATGACGAAAACAGGGTTTTGCAATATGCTGATGACAGTTGTAGCACTGAAGTGAATGGAGACGGTACACTTCTGGATAGTGTCTACTTCTGCCACATCTGGAACACGACATTCCTGCTATTCCTTCCGAATTTCTAGGGGAGTATCCTCCCACTACGTGCATGCCCCCCCCCCTTCTCTGCCATGGCACATTGTGCCTTCTTGGCATTTTCTTCAGTCATCTCTGCTACTACGGCGATTTTCTCGGCTTTGGTTCTCGTCGAGAATAGCTTGGGCAGGGATTGCTGGTGCACAGCTGAATTTCAGAGGCTGCAGAGTATTCCAACTTTCAGCGTCCGGTCAAGTGCGGCACCAAAGTTGCACCTCTTGGTTATTTGTGAGATGACCACAACGAAGTCCCTCACCGGTTCAGCCTGCAGCTGGTTGCACGAGAACTTGTATGACTTGTATGCTGCTTGCACGTTGCACGGAAGTCCATTCACTAAGGCTCTATCTACTAATGATGTTCAGTGTTTGAGCTTAGCACCGCGACGAGCAGGACACATTTCTTGTCGTCCGTAACCCTGTTTCCTTCGAAGAACACCTGAAGTCTGATCTTGAAAGCTGGTCATTTGTTGGCAGTTTCACTGAACTGTGGTTGGCTTCAATAGAAATGCCATCCTATTTCTCGTCGCTGTTTCAGTGATGCAGTAACAACAGTGGTAGTGACTAGTAATGAACCAATGTTTATTCGCACAGCTTGCACTTTGTGTAGGTCCGAGAGGATCAGGGAAGGGGAGAAAGAAGGCGAGGAGATGAGGTAATAAGTGCCACCGCGCTTGTGGCAACGTGGCAGAGAAAAAAGGTGGGGAGATGAGGTAGTAAGATGTTACCACGCTTGTGGCAACGGGGCAGAGTCGCAACCTCCTCCTTATGGTCTTTTATTCCCACTGTCTCGCCGAATGTCGTATTCTTTGTTTGCTGCAGCTTTTTAAACCTTTTTATTTTTGAAGATATGGGCGGCACCTGTAGGTCGTCCGCAGCATGAAGGATAAACTTTTTTACATGTATGATGCACAGACAATAGTCTTGCAAATACGCTAAAAGATGGACAGTCAGTATACGCCAGTGAGAATGCTCACGGTTCTCGTGGCTGCCCATGCGAGTGCATGCACTATGGAAGTAGGGAGCTTCTGGAGGCGACATGACGCCACCAGAGCTGAAGCGAAAAGGGTGGAGGGACGCCCCCCCAACGATGACCAAAAACAAAAGACACTATTGAACAATATGGAGAGCTTCGGAGATCCGAGGTGACCAAAACAGCTGTTAAACAGCTCACCTATTTGTATTGCGGCTGTTGAGGTAGTCGGGATTCGCCCAATATTATCGGTGTTTTCATTGAGCACAGAGTGCCCCAGTTTGGTTGAAGCTCATGCATTGCCAAATTTTCTGCCCACAGGAAGCGAGGGCGACGTGCACCTTTTCCTTCGAGAGCAGGGACAGCAAGGTGGTGTCGACGCGCACGACCGGCCGCTTCTCCGCGCAGGAGTTCCAGAAGTGCCTGAGCGCATGCCGTGCCGCGGCGGCGGACATATTTGCATTCTATCGGGACGCTTTCCGCAGACGATACAGCAAGTGTCTTGAAGTGGGAGAAGACGACTGACCGTTATCGGTGCTTCTTCGTCATAATAAAGCTTGTGAGAAAAGGTCTGGTGCTGCATTCACTTTTTAATGTTGCGTGACCCACCTGCTTGGTCTGCCATTTTTCTCCCAGGTTTGAGCTCTGTGAAATCATCCTGGGTAATGTCCATGGTGGTGAAGTCTTTCCTCCCAAATGATTGCGAGCAACCACCATTGAGGTAGCCACCGGCTTTGCTTTTCCCACTGCAATGCCACAGGTGTCCTTTTGTACTGGTAAGGCTATGAACAACTTTGGAGTCTGAACCCGAATACTAAATTATGCCATTGCCGACTTTTCTTCCAGAAGACAATATTTAAGCTCATTACAACAGACCTGGTTACAACAGAGATTTGGATAAAACATACTGATATCTGAAGTTTGGTTGGTTTTCCTCTACATACCATTGACTCAACTTCATATCTGCATATAACATACTCCTTTTACAACAGACCGAAATCTTGGTCAAAATCAAGGTCTTATAACAAGCTTGCACTTTATCATTTTTTTCGATTGCAGTGTCCCAAACTCCCAATAGTCAAAAGGAAAAGGTTTACAAAACCATTTCCTTTAATAAGCAGAACTACCAGAATTATACTTACTAGAGAAGCAGAGCGATCAGTTCGTCCAACCTGTCAGTTCTCAAAACTAGGATATTCTGTTTTCAAGGTATATTTTTCTTTGACGAAACAAGCACGTGTATTAGTAGGCTCGTTCAATTTACCTGCACCACCTACACCGCTGCGGAAAAGTGTAGGGCAGAGTACTTCCGGTATGTGTATTGCAATACTTGCCAAATCGCTTGAATCGCCCAGGAGACTCCAGAATTTCAACCATTTCATACGGTTGTACGATTCACAGAAACTTCTCACGGAAAATGCAAAATAACCCCCCCCCCCCCCCCCTTGCACTTAGAGACACTGACACCCGGCAAAATTTTTTTTATTTTTCGTTAGGCGATCCATTGAGGTGTCGGGAGACTATCCAATCAGTATTTTGCTACAGCATCACATATATATTTAAATGAAGTCAAAAACGCAACTGCTTGAAGTCGAAACCGAAATTCGACTAGGGAGTAAGAAATATAGTGTGTTCCCAAAAATTGCGTAACTGTGCAACTTTTTTTTTTTTTTCAATCAACATATTTGCAGTTTGTAGAAGCCACAAAAATGGTTATAATATTTTTCTTCTATTTTTAATATTGAGTGTGTGCCTTCGATGATCACCTTTGGTGGTTCTGTCTAAACCATAGAAAATGGCACGTGACCACAGAGAAGAGAGTGAGCGCGACACAAACCAGCCAGTGCTCAATTGGCGGTTTTCGGGCGGAAAGAAAACAAATTTCGAGCTGCAAATTGTTTTCTGGGTAGTTGGGCTCTTGTATGTCATGTACAAATGAAAGCCTAGGCAAGGATAAATACTCGGTCGGTGTTCCTTTAAACGAGGAGTTTTTGCCATAGTAACAGAGGGCAGCAATGGTAGAGAGACCCAGCTGTAATTGGCTAGTACGAGCAGTGCAATAGAAATTTAATGACATTATCTTCATGTAAATCCATTGTCAATATTTCTTCTAAACCCCCTGTCTTAGAAAGTCTTCCGGATTTGGTTTCTCCAAACTTGGTAGATATGGAGATATGACCTGAAGTATGCCGCCTTACTTTTCTGCAGCAGTGCAGGAGGTAGAGGTAAATCGAACGAGCAATAGACCTCGAGAGCATTGGTCGTTTCGATCCACAGAGGGTTCTTATTTATCCCCTGCACTGTAGCACTTGTCTGTGTTATTTACCTTTCGGTGGCGTTACGATCATTGAGAGAGGAGTGGATAATACAGTCCAAGAATTATTAGAAGCATATGAAAAAAAAATAAGTATGGCAAAAACAACTGCTAAATCCAAACTTTTGTCTACTCGCACAAAAAAAGAGGCAGCCTAATTAGACAAGTGTTGATACGACAGTGACTTGATTGTTTACTTTGTAGGATTTCTTTCGATAAATGTTAAGTCATCAGTTCAGCGCTTGTCCCGTTTACTTCTTTACCATCCTCGTATTGTGCGTTGTTTCACATATCGCTTTGGGGGCATGTTTCTTTTTTCCTGCAGATCTTGTGTTTCGGGAATTATGTTGAAGAATAGGCGACGTGACAGGGGAATTCTTCGGACCCCAGGGGAGACGTGTGTGACCCAAATGCTGGGAGAACATCCCGATACCATTAAAAGAAGGAAACGAGACGGGTTTCCTAAAGGGAAAAGCAGCTTGCAGATGGTTTGTTGCGGGCTATGTTCAAGGTCAACAAAAATAAAGTTGTAGTTGAAATATTTTTTCCCATGAAGCTTGAACCTTTTCTCATTCGAGGACAGTTTTTAATCAAAATCTTCGCCTCGCCCCCCCCCCCCCCCCCCCCCCCCCCCCCGAGTTGAATATGACCGGCTCAAATTGAATTGAGTATAACCAGTACATACTGGTGTTGCACACAACTTTCAGGAAGAAAACATGGGATATCACGACTACATCACCACCTGTGCACAGTTGAGAAAGCACATGTTCTCAGGGCATTGCTGTCGTCCAGCTGTAATCGCCTTATCAACTATTGTGTAGTAGTGGCTCTTGTGTCAACAGTAGAGCAGGACAAAGACCTGGTGTTGTATTCATGGATCAAATGTGATGGGCGGCCATGTTAATTATATTTTGCTTAAACTATCGCGTGTTGTTGGCTTGATTTATCGACACCGCCATCTTTTACCAAGAAGCGTCAAACTTTTAATTTATAACTCTTTATTTTTCTCTCGTATAAACTACTGCCACCTAGTTTGGGGTAATAGTACAAGTACAAACTTAAATAAACTACTTCTGTTGCAGAAAAAGATGCTAAGAAACATTTCCAATGTCCCATACGACCACCCTAGTGAACCCTTATTTAAAAGTTTAAAATTGATTAATGTTAATAATATATATAAATATTGTTTGTGTGTGCGTTATAAATCTGAAGTACAAAAAAATCATCTTAATCTGATTGACCTGGCTTCTCTTGCTCCAAAAGTACCAACTTACCCCACTCGAAGTTTGCAAAACTGAAAGTTACCCAATATTAGAACGGCCTATGCTGAGCAAATGTTATCTTATACGCTTCCAAGCCTACTTAATTTTCTTAACTCCGAAAATATTGATCCCATTAAAGGGATACTACAACGAAATTTCGGCGCTCATTTTTTGGTCTATATGTGTTCAAAAGAGCAGTATCACATGGAACATACCAATATCTTGTTAAAAAACTCTCGAAAAGGAATTTTAAAATGAATTAAACGATTAGCAAAGAGCACCTGGTGGATGTCGCTAACGCCTCGTTTGTAATGCTCGTCTAGGAACCTTGACAGCTAGTGACGGAAATTGTCTCGTCTTCGGCCACGACGAGAGAAGGGGGGAAGGAGGAACTCCCCTCTTCCCGAGAATCCCTTTTGTGTGTCGCAGAAGTCGCTATTGTCCCCCTAGAAGATTATAGAAGATTAACCCATCACTCAAAATTCGTACAAAAGCAGCCGCTTCGGTGGCTGGAACGACTAGGCCATCCTTTCGACGTCAGCCTCGCCGTAGCTTTGCTCGTCTTGAGACGACCTACGTCACGATTGCGTTGGATGTCACGTGCTCTAGGCTGGGCCTTCTCCAAGCGCTTGCCAGAGTGGGCCGTTTATAACGAAAAATACAGCCACCAGGATCAAAATACAAACGTGCGATTGTCATTTACGGATATTGTGGATCATTTTCAACCTATTTTTGAACACGACGGGAATATTTCAAATTTCGTTGAAGTATCCCTTTAAGTCATTGAGACAAGATATTCGAGAATTTTTTTCCAGTGTGTCTTTTTAGTAGTCCTTTTCAGAGCTTTGCGATGTATAATGCTTTGTGTTTTCTGAGTATATATCTAAATGTATACATGTATGACATTTTCATTTTTATGTTACTGCAAAAAATGCTAATATTGCCGCCCGATTACTTTTTGAATGTCATTGTGTCTTGTTTATTTTTTCATGTGCCACTTCTGTTTGTGTGAGAGGGGGGCCGGGGACTCGTCAAGCTGCATGATGCAGCTTTTTTCCTCGGTCTCCCTCCATCATTTATTTGATAAAAAAATAAACATTATTATTATTTTTATTATAATCATGCACAGGACAGATAGAATTCTACATTTTCAAGTTTATCCCAATTCTATAAAATTCGGAGTTTCATTTCGCTATATTCCCGGTTTTCCAAGGTTGATTAAAGAAGCACTTGCTTATCTACAAGCAAAACTTGAAGAAACTATGGTTCTTTTACTGGACGATGATCCTTCAAAGTCTCTAAATTGATAGATGCAGTCTTTAGGAAGCTTTTGTTTCCCCAATACCCATCCAAGATCAAGACGCAGAAAAGTGCCATAACCACATGGCGTGGGGGCTAGCTAGATAGAGAAGCCCACTTTCATGAAACCTGCAAAACCCCTCCTCCTCTCTGCGAAAAGCACAAATGGTACAGTTTGAACTCGAAATCAAAATATTAGTGTTAGCCAAATGACCAGGCTTAGATTGCCCCATGACATGATCCAAAAACAGATTGAATTGTTGTCCTGAACAGACGTTGGCTAGCAGGGACCCCGGAACCGGGGGGGCAGCGGGGGCTTGAGCACCCGCTGACATTTTCCAGGGGGTGCTGGGAATATGCTGAGCCCCCGTGCGTTTGGCTGGAGGCGTACTGAACAATGCCTGCACCCCTTCCCCCCTCCCCTCCGTGTTCCCCTTGCTGCTCAGCTCCGCAAAGCCACGTACTTGGCTAAGGGCAAGCAAGTGGCTCTGTGTTGTTACGGCTGGTTGCCCACCGACAACACAACCCTCGCCCACAAAATTCCAGAAAAAAAACGAAGTAAAGCGAAGTGTCAGTAAACCGCGGACGACGCGACAGCTTCAAAAAATGGGAAAGAGAGAGAGAAAAAAAAAAAAAAAGAGCCGGCGCCTGGGGCTTGCGTAGCACAGTGAGGGAGTCTCTAGGGTGCCTTCATGTGCGCACATGAAGGCTCCCTACCCTACTCCACACGCGGGTTGGCCATGAGGGGGAACGCGCAGCGCACTGTTTTTGTCCACACAGCCAGCCGGCTTCTTCGTGTTGCTTCTATTTTGAGCAACGACGTTTCCCCGAAAATACAAAAATTTCTTCTATTTTTTTTTTTTTTTTCAATGGCGTTTTTTTTTTTCTCTCTTTTTTTTTTTTTTTTTTTGGGGGGGGGGGGGGAGGGGTCAGAGTAACCACGAAGGTTGGGTAATTGCTTCCGTGTGGAGAGCCGATCGCGAGGCGGGGAGACGGTCTGCGCGAAAAGAAAGCCCTTCTTGAATGGAGACTGCCTACAGATGTAGCGAGTTGAGGGGGAAAAGCTTCTCAACTCCCAAGGCAAGAGAAGGGCGACACAGATTGTAAAGCGAGAGATCGCACTGCAGTCTGTGTCCAAGCGCTGCTACCACGGTGGTCGTCGGAGACATCAAAGAATCGCGGCATCTTCGCCGGTATTTCTGCGTCTTTGTTTCCGAAACACAATTTTGGGTCTTGGCGAGCCAGCCTGCTATGTTCAGGCGGGCGCCCTATTATGCACCCAGACGGTTTCAGCCTATTTTCAAAGACGACCATAAAAACAGGAAACATGCTGAAATAAAAAAAGGCATCGCCACTGAAGGTGCTGGAACGAGAGGGATGTTTTTTACTCGTCTCCCGGAGTCCATCTGCTTCTTCCTCGCCAGCCTTCCTTCTCCTCTCCCAGTCACTTCACTGAAACTGCAGTTGTAGATTTGTCACTGTAAAATCCGCGGACGGTTTGTTTGGACATCTCAACATCAAAGGATGTACGTTTTTTTTTTGTTTTTTTTTTTTTGACGAGTGAAACGTTAAAAATACACAGTATTTAAAGTTTTACACTTTTAATCGTTATGGCTACCAAAAGGACGCTCCTTGATGCGTGGTTGCGGGGGCCCAAGAAATTGGCAGTTTCTCAGGGAAATACCCAAACCTTCGGCACGGCAGCAGCGGACCGTATCATACCAAGAGTCACCCAGAATTTACAAAAAATCTGGTAGGTTTTGTTTCAATTTTGTGTGTCTGCATGCGTAGCGAAGCAAGAGGGAATTGTCGAATCTTAGGTTGCATAAACTGCATTGCAGGGAGTTCACAATGTTCCGTTGTTCTATGAAATAACCGCATAAAACAGTTTTGTAATATATTGCGAAGGTATTTAGCACACAGACGTAGTTAGATGGTGGAAGTAATCAGTAAAATTTCAATAAAATTAGTTCACTAAGCAAAAAAAAAAAAAATTTTTTTTTCTTTTTATTTTCCGTATCAGCACCAAATAATATTTTGGGCCACTGGGGCGTTAATTCGGGCGAAATGAAGGCTATGTTATGTAATATTGTATTTTATTTCTATTCCACCCATTTTTTCAGTCATAATAAACGCCTCTGTTTCCCAGAAAAATGTTTGATAGTTTCGCGAAAAAGAGGTTTCGCAAATATTTACCCATAAAAAACTGCTTCTTTTGTTTTCCTTTTCTTTCTTTCACTAAAAAGAAAAATAGACAGGACGACGTCTTGAGACGTCGCCCTGTCTATTTTCTGTCTCTTCTACGTTTTGATGTTTCTTCTCTACCCCAGTCTCAGGTTAATTCAACATGGTGAAATTTGCGCGGTCACTTTAAGGGGCTAACGAAACATCTTACGTGAACTCCCGGTAAAGTATGTCAGATCCCCTAACCGCTTTTGGTGGGCATTGGTTTTAAAAGTCAGATTTGGGGGTTTTACATGCCAAATTAAGGATGGGCACCTGACGCGCCCCAGCGGAGGACTGGGGATTCATCTCGACCCCCTTGGGGATCTTTTGACCTGCAACCGAAAGCTCGGTTACCACGGTGCCTTCTCTGCAATAAGCCCCCGTCAGATTGCGGGAATTCGACCCTACCACCCGGGGATCCGTAGGCCGGTGCTTTGCCTCGGAGCCACCGAGACCGCTAGCTTGTCAATTTAATTTCCAAAAGCATTGCATTGTGGTGACGTGTTCTAAAGAAAGCCGCATTTCTCTTAACGTAGAAAAATAGTTGTGCGTTTGCCTAGGTCTGTCGTAGTTTTATCCCGCTTAAATTACGAAAAAAAAAAATAAAACTCATTCATTAAGAGAAAAGATTGTTGTAGAGGGCTGCAGCCTCGACACTAACGCGCACATAAATTCGCATTCGACTAATGTAGATTCTTCAACGCTATCGCCCAATAATGAGACCAATGGCGGCCTTTGTCGACTATTTTTTAGTTACCGATATCGCCCAAATCGATTAAGAGAGCATATTTAGAGTTCAATGTTGTTTATCCTGTGCAATTTATTGATCACAGTCGTTAAAATTGATAATAATTATAACGGGCAAAGTGTGTCTTCCGTTGAACCTCGTTGGTGTGGTACTCATTTCTGTCTTGTCAAAACGCTTCTAGATGCTAGCCAATGATCTAAAGCGCAAAGATGTTATCGAATTCGTTAAAAGAATTAAAATGAAAAAAAAACAAAAAACGTACGAAAAGCTGCAGGTAGATCACCCAGACGGCCACTAACTTTCAACTTCTTTGGCCGCGTGCTTTTTTCGCTTTTAAACCTTTTAATGAGCGTGAACCAACTATCCCAATCCAAAAAATTAATTCATGTTATCGATTTCTTTTTTGTTTTTTTTCCGGTTCCATTGTAATTAAATGCTGACGACCGCATCCACCGGTGGTGAGCTCGCTCTATATGGCGGAGCGGACTCATTTTTGAAATTTTCAAGATTGTTTGTCATAATTTTTTACAAGAACAGAGCTACGCCTAGAAACTTCACAGGAATACGTCCAGGATTAAAATACACCTTCGCTGAAAATGCGAGCTCTCTATGTGAAGGCGCCCGATTTTCCAGTGCATTTTACATCGACACGGTAGATCGGTGCCACTGTGTAGCTGCTACTATATATTGGATCCGACTGCGTCAACATTTCATTGCTTCGTGGCAAGAATTTTGGATAATGTAGGAATACACGGTATAGGAAATGATAATTAACCTTCTATAAACAGTGAAATTTTGGTAATAACTGTTTTTTCAATTTTCATTTTTGTTTCACCTTCTTCTCTCCCCCCCCCCCCCCCCCCCCCCCCCCCCCCTCCTTCACTTCCCCCTTTATTTCGGCCGTGAGCCCCCCCACGTAAAATACACTTCCGGGGTCGCTGTTGGCTAGGCCAACTTTTGACAATCATCCGCGACGACTCTCGAAAGGGGGAAGGTCTTGTCTCACCAACGCCTATTCAGGGCTAACAATAACCACATACTTTGTTTAACCGTAGCTTGGCAAAGAGCCAAGGCTACGGCCCCTTTCAGTCAATCGGTGATGGGAGTGAAGCATGTGACAGCCCTTACCAAAAGTACAGAGGCAAGAGTGTAGCCCGAGCAGTTGGAGAAGAGAGGAAGGAGGAACTCCCCGTTACCCAGACCCTCTTTCCTGTGTCCCAGACGTGGCCTCTGTACGCCTAGAAGATTAGCCCGTCACTCAAAATTTGAACATTGGTTTTCCTCCCTCTCCCACCTGTGGCGATGACAGCACTGCACAAGGCTAGTGAGATAAGAGTCCAGAGTCTTTCTCCGACATACCAATTGGCTTACTGGAATCATAGCCCTCGCCCTTTGCCAAGTTACGGTGAGACGGCCGATAACATTTGCAGTGGACAGTTATTGGTTTGACATGCGTATCAGAGTGGTGCACTGGCCCGTGGTTACGACTTTAGTGGACTACGGCCATGGCCTTGGCTGTAGTCCACTGTAGGATGACACGAGTTATGTTCTTTTTCATTTGCCTTTGGGAACTTTGCTTATACATTTTAACCTTTTTTTTTTAGTGAAAAGAGGCATATGGTTCTAATGAGAAACTTGCGAAGTGTCATCCAGAACCACTAAATCACTCATTTTCAGAAAGACTGAGCACGTGAGAAGCGCAGTAGTGAGTCAAAGTTACCACTCATGCAGCAGGAGCAAGGCTACCAGTGCAATAAGGCACGGCCCCAGCCTTGTACCTGTTGCACGAGTGGCACCTTCAGCCGACTACTCACTTCCCATGCGCTCGAAATATTTCTACAAATTATGGATTTAGTGGTTTCGGTGACCCTCAGCAACTTTCTCGCTGGAACCATATGTCTATTTTCGCAAATTAAAAAGTTAATTAATGAATTTTACTTAGCCGACTGATCGTTGAGGTTAGCCCTATATGTATCTCACCTGCACAAACCGAAAAAATGTAGCTTTCAGTTCTTTTTAATTAGTGGCACTCTTGGAAAAACTTACCTGGTATATTCCCAGTGAAAGGCAAACACATAATGGTCGCAGGCCTGTCAAACTCGCCTTAGTAGCAACATTTTTACACCAACTGGCTGAAAAATAAAGTTTGTGAATAAACAGCACTAGAAACCTATTTTGCATTGTCGGCAGAAACAAACCCCCATTTGCGACATTTGTGGGAGTTGGCTACAACTAAACAGGTCTGTCTACAATCTGACATTACGGCCAAGTACTCTTACCAACTTGTTTTTATTTTCGAGTAAGTCTCTTATTTATATACTTGCATGGTGCTTCAATACACAAGAAACTTTCAATTCGTTGCACAGGTATGCCAGTGGCTTTCCACCAAATTCCCAAATAAAATTTTTACAAATTGAATGTAAAGAGTCATGTCCCGTTGACCCAAACACTGTGGTGTCCCACCCAGAGTAACTGAATCGTAATGTATTTGGACAAGCGAGTTATAATTAAAGAGAACACCGTAGGTTGTTCTCCTCACCAAAAACAAATCGGTTCAGAATAAATACGACTTGGCAAGAGTCAAGTAAGCAGGAACTGCAGTAAAATATAAAAAATATAACCAATGCCATCATAATCTCAACACAGGCGTAAAAAGAGTACCCCTAGCCTTCCACCACTGCATCGATCAGATGGAGATAGAAGTTGAACACAATATTGTTCTTTAATTTTGAAGGAAGTTGTACAAGACCTTAACACGCAGGCAGTCGGAGGCTTCCGACTTCATTTCAATTCAAGGCCGGGCCTTCCTCTTGCGCAACTGCATCCTGCTCCCTGGTACGTGCGAACACCCTGCCACTGGTTCGTCCACAATGTCCCGGACTTTGAGGTACGACACAACCCGCAGCAAGTTGTCAAATCCGATGTGATCTATCAGAGTCTGCTGCCGCTTACCCTGCCTGCAAATCACTTTTTCTTTCACGACACCCACCACCGTCATGAAGTTGTACCTGATGTATCGCAGACGCGTCTTGATCCTGTTCCTCACCTCGAACTCCGTCTCTCCAGTAACCTCTTGTAGCTTCTGGACTAGCGATTTACTCTCGAGGTGGCGTTCAAATGCTTCCGCATGCCGCTTCGTGCAAGACCCCATAGCAAACTGCACCGCATCTAGGAGCGTGGACCCGTTTCTACGCATCTTGTCCCTGATCTCGAACATGTAGTCGCCCAAATCGAGGTACTCATTGGTCTTCACGCTGAGCAAGAAATAATTGTCGACGAGGCACCTCGACAGCTCGGAAATCACCGCCAAAGATGTAGAGTGATCCGGCGACAGGAGGGTAATCTCCTGCAAGCTTCTACTCTCTTTCACAAGAGCCCCCAGCACAGAGGCATCCTCGTTCGTAAATTCGCAGTCCTCGAAGGCCAACGAAGAGATGCTTTTGTTGAGACGGAGTCCCCCTAGGAGGATCGGCATGGAATGCTCATTTGCGTCGAAGGTGAGGTACAGCGATTCCAGTACTTTGGTAGACGAAAGATAGCGTGCCAGCAGCCTCGCCGACGTGCAGCCCAGTCTGTCCAGGCGGATGCTGACCTCGACGAACCGAAATGGGGAGGCGAGCTTGTAGTACATGTAGTGGACTACCAAGATCACTGGGTCTTGTTGTGGCTCAATATAAACGCGTTGGAGGTTTGTGCCACTCCTCTTGTTGCTCGTGTGGATGGGAGGATCCGAAGTGTAGCAGTCGTAGTGCACCCTCTTCTCCAGGCCTTTCTGCTCCAACAGCTCGTGGAAGTCCCCAGGGACCAGCTCGAACACATTGCCCAGTGTAACCAGTTCGAGAGATTCGTTACACGCCAGAGCATTGAGGAAGGCCTCCGTCCTTTCCACACCTATGCGAGCACTTTGAAGGGTCAGCTTCCTTAGTGTGGTGTTTTTTTTAATGCAGCCTGCCAGTTCGTCGATGAGAAACGAACCCTCGATTTCGAGTTCCCGCAAACTGCCATTGCGTTCAATCAGATCCGCAAAGTCGTCCAGCTCATTCCCAAAGGCGATCCCAACTCGCAAGACACTCAAGGTGTTGTTCTCAGCCATCACCTGGGCCAAGAACCTGCCTTCTGAGGGCCGAAGAAAACAATAAGGTAGGTATAATTTCTCTAGAACTTTGTTTGTTCTCAGTGCGCCAAAAAGATCCAGCACTTCATTTGTTCGTTCCCTTTCACTCACTATGTAATCAAGAGTCAGCTTCTTCAGCTTGGTGTTGCGCGCCAGGAACTTGGCAAACACCGTGCTGTTGTCGAGACACCAGCCGGGAAGGTGCAGTTCTGCGACAGAAGAGCCTGCCAAAGCATCCAGCAGCCCAGATTGATTTCTGGGGTTCAATTTACGCACTTCCAGCTCGACAGATGTTAGAGATGGCATCTCTTTGATGGCCAGTTGAAGCTCGGCCACCGCATGCCTGGTCAGCGACACGTCACACAGTGCAAGCTTCTGAAGCCCCGAAAGAGTAGCCAAAGCAGTAAAAAAGGCCTTAGGGATCATCTCAAAGTTGGAAACCCTGAGCTTCTTGATTCCGACATTGCATTGCAGGGCATCGCCGATAAAGCGGAGGTCCGTGCCGAAAGGAGTCTCTTTCAGCTCAAGCAGCTCTATGCAGTGGTGATTCTTAAGGAGCCAATGCAGGAGGATGAAAGCATGAGATCTCTGGATCTCAGACACCCTTTTCCAGCTGCAGCCGAGTTGGTGGACAATGCCAAGTTTTCTGGGCACCACTTCTTTGAGTTCCAGATGAATGATCCAGAGAAACTCATTCCAGAGTTTAAGATCGACGAAGATGTGGCACGTTTGTGTGTCACTGTGGGTGCAACCAATACTGTGATCGATCATCCTCGAAGTCAGGACACTCCTGGTGTTGTTCAGGTCCCAAAGGATGGCCTCGGCTGTAGACATGCCTGGACAGAGCTGGTCGACGCGTTCAGCATACTCCTCGAGTGTCTCAGCCTCCTCACCCACTGCACTGCGGGAGCGTAAAAAGTGTGCAGGTTTTGTTCATTTTTATGTTGGATAGCATGCACAACACCACAAGTTCGTGTTTGTCCACACGATCTGTGAGCAATGCGCGTGTGCAAAATCCAAGTTCACGTCAAAAGAAGCATTTGCGGATATGCCGCGCCCGCAGCAGCACCATGCATGCTGCCTCCGCAGCGACCGGACATCCGAGTCAGCTAATCGTTTGCAAGTCCACCAAAAAATATCGGTTTGCATTGTCCAAAATTTAGTCAGGGCCAATGCCCTTTCGTTACCAAATGGTCAGGTGCCGTTTAATATTGAAGCTACGTATGTAGTACCTACTCCGTGCAATACAGAGAATCTCGCTTCAAACTTTCACGATTTGAACATGACCACCTTAGTTAAAATTTAATTGAAGATTTTCTTCGTTGACACAGTGTCAATAACCAGACTGCGGTATTCACACGACCAACACAAGAAAGAGGCCAGATACATTTAGAATCCGACAAAACACAAGGAGAAATCACAAAGCGCGACAGACGCACGAACCTGGCCGTCTCCAACCTCCTCGATTTTCTTGGAGGCATCTTTTCCTTTTTTTTTTAATTGATCACATTGGGAGCACCCGCGCAAGCACGTATCGCTTAATGGAGCACCTATTTCAGCATAAAAATGAACTCGTGCCTATTCAGCAGCTCATATTTTCCGTTACCGTCACTTCTGTCATCAGCCCATGTGCTTTCTACAAGCCTTGACCCCACGGGAGTCGAATGATGGCAACCGCAGATCCAGAGTGGCGCTCAAGAGCGTACGGTTTTACTCGCAAGGGACAACAATTAATTTTATAATATTAAGGTTATAAAACATAATTAGAATCATACCTCGTTTATGAGAGCTAAAAAAATTGAAGTTAATAAGAAAGTGCTGTAGAATTACCCACTAAATAGAATGCGCAATTAGATAACACCCGCCACTGCCTGTGCAACCGTGCAACCCATTGCTCTGGCAGCATGTAGGCAAGGGCTTCGAAAGCGGCAGGAAATATATGTAGTTACCCAAGGGACCTCGATTAATTAAACGATGCACAGGTAACTCTGCATACGTGCGCTGCCTATGTGATAAATCCTGTCGAAAGGAACCAATGGCTCCAAGAAAATCGAAGAGACCGCGGAAAGCGGCTATGCCCAGGTTCGTGCGACTGATTTCGCCGATTTTAGTAGAAAATTACCTTACAACGGGTTCACGATGTTACCGAAGAAAGCTGTACTAAACATCATACATTTTTACCCAGGACAAACGGTTCCTACTAGTGCGCAATCAAATAAGTATTCATCACCTTGGCAACTGAAAGCATATTGACACCGTGAAATTCTAAAGCTTGATTCCTTCTATGTTGTACAAGCTGGATTTGTCTTTAAGACGCACCTTGTCGTTTGTATCCTCAGTAGCTACACGGTCCGAGTTGTAGTGGCATGGTTGGCACAAGTAAAGATTGTACGTAGCTTACACTGACGTCACATCAGCTCCCATTCTAGTGACTTTATTTCCGAGTGCATAGCTTTTGCAGTATACGTTTTGCACTCGAATTTGTTTTTCTTACCAAGAACAAGTAGGAATGACCACCAGCATGGTGCAATCACATCACGTGCAAAACATGTATAGGAGTTGTTGATACATGTGCTTCCCGATGCAAATGAGCGAAATTTGTACACTTTTTTATGTTTTTGCAGCGAAGCAGCCGAGGAGACTCGGACGCTCGAGGAGTATGCTGCTCACGTCAACCAGCTCTGTCCAGGAATGTCCACAGCCAAAGCCATCCTTTGGAGCCTCAACAACACCAGGAGTGTCCTGACTTCTAGAACGATTGACCACAGCATTGGATGCACCCACAGTGACACTCAGGCGTGCCACATCCTGGGCGATCTTAAACTTTGGAACGAGTTTCTCTGGATCGTCCATCTGGAACTCAAGGAAGTGGTGCCCGGGAAACTTGGCATCGTCCATCAACTTGGCTGCAACTGGAAAATGGTGCCCGATACTCAAAGATCTCACGCTTTTATACTCCTGCATTGGCTGCTCAAGAATCACCGCTGCATAGAGGTGCTTGAGCTAAAAGAAACGCCTTTCGACACGGACCTCCACCTTATTGGTGATGCCCTGCGCCACCACATTGGAATCAAGAAGCTCAAAGTTTCCCACTTTGACTGGGTCCCGAAGGCTTTTGTTGCCTCTCTGTCTACTCTCCCTAGACTCGAGAAACTCAAACTCTGCGATGTGACACTGACCTGGCACGCACTAGTTGAGCTTCAGCGGTCTCTCAAAGAGGTGACGTCACTAAGATCTCTCGAGCTGGACGTACGTGAATTGAACCCCAGAAATGAAGTGGGGCTGCTGAATGCTCTGGAAAACTGTCCCGCCACGGCACTGCGCATTCCTGGCTGGTGTCTCGACAATGGCGCGATGTTTGCCGAGTTCCTGGCACAAAACACCAAGCTGAAGGAACTCACTATTGATTGCATTGCGAGTGAAAGGGAGAGAACAAATGAAATGCTGGATCTCTTTGGTGCACTGAGAACAAACAAAGTTCTGGAGAAGTTGTATCTGCCCTATTGTTCGCTTCAACCCTCAGAGGGAGCTTTCCTGGCACAAGTGTTGGCCGAGAACTGCAGCCTGCGCGTCCTGCAGGTTGAGACGGCTGATGGGGACGAGCCGGGGGCTTTCGCGGAGCTGATTGAACGCAACGGCGGTTTGCAGGAGCTTGAAATCGGAGGCATGTATTGTATTTCCGAATTGGCCGGCTGCATTCGTAAAAACACCACACTGAGAAAGCTTTGCCTTCAAGGCGCGCACATGTGCATGGAAGAAATGGAGTCCTTCCTCGGTGCTCTGGCGGACAACGAATCGCTCGATCTAGTCAGGCTGGGGAATGTGTTTGAGGTGTTCCCCGGGGACTTCCACCGGCTCCTAGAGAACAAAGGCCTGGAGAAGAGGGTGCATTATGACTGTTACCTCTCCGAGCCTCCCATCCACACAAGCAATAAGAGAAGCAGCACAAACCTGGAACGCGTTTTCTTCGACTTGCAACACAACGAGGAGGACATTGTCCACCTCCAGTATTTCAAGCTTGCCTGTCCATATCAGTTCGTCGAGGTCAGTGTTCGGCTGGACAAGCTGGATTACGTCGCCGCAAAACTGCTGGCACGCTTTGTTGCGTCTGCCAGCGTCTTGGAGTCCCTGTACCTCTCTTTCAACACAGACAAGCGTTCCATGCCGGTTCTTCTTGCGGGACTCCGTCGCAACGAGAGCATCTCCTCATTGGCCTTTGAGGACTGTAGCTTTACAAAGGAGGATGCCACTCTGCTGGGGGCTCTTGTGAAAGAGAGTAAAACCTTGCAGGAGATTACCCTCCTGTCGCCGGATTACTCTACATCCTTTGCAGTGATTTCTGAGCTCTCAAGGTGTCTCGTTGACAATTACTCGGTGCTTAGCGTGAGGACCAACGAATACCTCGATTTGGGGGAGTACATGTTTGCGATCAAGGACATTATGCGAAGAAATGGGTCCGTGCTGTTAGATGCGGTGCGGTTTGCAATGGGTTCCTGCACAAAGCGGCATGCCGAAGCCTTTGAACTGTACCTCAAAAATAAATTGCTAGTCCAGAAGATACGAGAGGTTGCTGGGGAGACGGAGTGGGAGGCGAGGGAGAGGGTCAAGGCGCGTCTGCGGTACCTCAGGTACAACTTCATGACTGTGGCGGGTGTTGTGAAAGAAAGCGTGACCTGCGAGCAGGGGAAATGGCAGCAGACTCTGCTGGATCACATCGGATTCGACAACTTGCTGCGTGTTGTGTCGTACCTGAAGGTCCGGGACATTGTTGATGAACCAGTGGCGGGGTGTTCGCACCCACCAGGGAGCCGGATGCAGTTGCGCAAGAGGAAGGCCCGGCCTTGAATTGATAGGGGGTCGGAAGCCTTTTGGGCTGCACGCCTCTTGGGGCCTTGTGCCTCTCAGTTGAAAATTAAAGAGTTATTTGTGCTTGGTTAACTAGACCGTGTCAATGCAGTGGTGCAAAGCTACCGATATCTTTTTAGAAACTATTGGTACCCTTGAAGAAATTATAATATTGACACCTATAATTCCTGTTCCCCTGTTTGGGGTGGGAAAGAAATTACACGGAGGGGTCTTGAGATCGATACCATGTTATATGATTGGCCTGGGTGGGGCATCAGCCTGTGTTTGGGTAAGACGGACATGGACATGGCTCTTGACAGTTGTTTGTTGTGTACCAAAGCATGAATTGAGAATAATCAAAATGAAAAAAGTTGATTTTTGTTTTAAATTAAGTCAAACAGATTTATTTGATTTTAATCACTAGTCATGAAATAATGCTTCTTAATCGCTAGATGTATTTTTGAACATGACAAGTTGATCAATCAATTTTTCCAATCACTAAAAACATTGCAGAAGAAAGAATTGCTGTAGTTTTAAGGTACATCATTATAAACTTTATATTGAAACCACACCATAGTATAACAAAAACCGCTTGATATTTTATTAGTGAAAAATATTTCTTTGCTTTCTCTTGTGTTTTGTTTTTCTTGCAACATTGCTTTCTAGTGTTAGTTTCCTTCACATTATTCTTTACTTGCAGTAGGGCATTACGTAACTGACAAACAAAAGTGGCAAAAGAAAGCTTGATCTAGTTTCTCAGGACCACTGCTTTGCGCTCAGTCAGTCTGGTAGAGATCTTTCTTGCTTAATAATTTTTTTAATTTAAATACGAAACGAATGCACATAAAAAGCATCAAATGATAAAAAGAATGATACATAAAAATATATTTTTTGAAGTAAATTTCAAAAAGGTTTGAAATCGTCATGGTAAGAGCGGTATGATTTAAATCATGATTTAAATTTTTATTCTGTGCCCTGAGAATAATAGCAGAAGTAGGAGTGTACCAATATTGCTTGGTATTTAATAGCAGTGTCATATCCAACACTGGAAAGAAAGCTGGCATGTTGTGGCTTCTTGGCCTGTGAGGGCTATGAATGACACCACTATTCAGACTCCTCATAAAAAGCCTGCGGGAATTGTCACTTTCATGCTTTAGCCCAATGTTCGAAGAAAAGCAAACTGGCTGCTGAATATCCAGAAATGCTTTTCGTGCAAGACTTCAAAATATTAGGTACTCAAGAAAATCGGTAATCTTCATGATGCCCTTATTTCAAACTTGTGTTCATACTCTGCCCATTGAAAAGCAAGACGAAAGATCCCAAGAATACTCTCGAGACCGGTTATAACGAAGTCAACGGGAATCGGAAATCACTTCGCTATATCCGCTATTTCGTTATAACCGACTTTGGTTGTAACGAAGTGCAAAAGGAAATGGGAAATCGTGATCGCTTTGCTGTAGCCGCTATTTCGTTATAACCGACTTTGTTATAATCGGTCTCGACAGTATACCTGATCTCTACACACCACCATCTCCTTGGGCACAATAAAGTCCATTTGCTACAATCGCCGTCACCAGGGCAACGAAGCATCTTCTCGATAGACCCGGACATGAACGCAGCTCGTGAAGCTGGCAACAGCTGGTGCCATTTGCCGAATGCAATCTGCAAACCGACGACAGAGTAACAGGCCGGGTGTTCCAAGCTAGGCTTCCGAACTGACTGCACTACATGCACTCTTCCGGAGCAAACTGGCTATAATCTCGGGCCCGAGCTTGCACCAAGCCTCGTCGGAACCGCTAAGGGT